TGAGTCGCGTGTGTGTGAGCCGCCTATGAGTCGCGTGTGTGTGAGCCGCCTGTGAGTCGCGTGTTTGTGAGCCGCCTGTGAGTCGTGTGTGTGTGAGCCCCTTGTGAGCCGGCTGTGAGCCAGGCCCGGGCCGCCTATGAGTCGCGTGTGTGTGAGCCGCCTGTGAGTCGCGTGTGTGTGAGCCGCCTGTGAGTGGTGTGTGTGTGAGCCCCTTGTGAGCCGCGTGTGAGCCAGGCCCAGACTGCCTGTGAGTCGCGTGTGTGTGAGCCGCTTGTGAGTAGTGTGTGTGTGAGCCGCCTGTGAGCCGCCTGTGAGCCGCGTGTGAGCCAGGCCCAGACTGCCTGTGAGTCGCGTGTGTGTGAGCCGCTTGTGAGTAGTGTGTGTGTGAGCCGCCTGTGAGCCGCGTGTGAGCCAGGCCCAGACTGCCTGTGAGTCGTGTGTGTGTGAGCCGCCTGTGAGCCAGGCCCAGACTGCCTGTGAGTCGTGTGTGTATGAGCCGCTTGTGAGCCGCGTGTGAGCCAGGCCCAGACTGCCTGTGAGTCGTGTGTGTATGAGCCGCTTGTGAGCCGCGTGTGAGCCGAGCGCAGACTGCCTGTGAGTCGTGTGTGTATGAGCCGCTTGTGAGCCGCGTGTGAGCCAGGCCCAGACTGCCTGTGAGTGGTGTGTGTGTATGAGCCGTATGTGAGCCGGCTGTGAGCCGGGCGCAGGCCGCAGCTGCAGTGGTCCCGGGGTGCTGCGGGCCGCGCCGCGGTGCGAGTCTCGAGGCGTCGCTCACGGGGACACCTCGAGCCGAGCGCGCGACGGCGCCGTGGAGTGCGCTCGGCATTCGCCCGTCTCGTGTCGTGATGTTTCTTTTTTTATTTGGGATTGAGAAGTGGAGCTTGACTGGCGCGGCGCGTCGGGTTGGTGGATGGGGAGGCGTTTCGTGGGGTCAGACTGGAGGAGGAGGGGGCCGCTGATGGTGTCTCGCTCTCGGTGTAGCTCTCGCGTCTTGTCTCTTGTCAAGATCGCTGTCCGCCCATCATGTCCGGCGTGAGACGCTCCACTTCTCATCGCCGACTGCGCGTTAACAAATTGCAGCACCCCAAAAGAATTGCTCAGAGTAGGATCGTTTACAAAGTGTACCCCAAAAATAACTACAAGACCATTGTTATTGGCACAGACTCCCTTTGGACGAATTGGGATAAGGTAGCAAGCTATGGTGGGTGGAGAGTGTGGTGGTAGGAATGGTGGTGCGTGTAGAGGGGGTGGTGCGTGGATTAGATGATGGTAGTGATGGTGGTGGATGGAGAGAGGGGGATGTTGGTAGTTGATGGTGGTGGGTGGAGAGTGTGGTGGTGGGGATGGTGGTGGATGGAGAGTGTGGTGGTAGGGATGGTGGTGCGTGTATTGGATGGTGGTAGGGATGGTGGTGCGTGGAGAGAGGGGGGGTGTTGGTAGTTGATGGTGGTCCTGCCGGGTGTGGAGGGAACGCTGCATTGGACAGCGGTGTCTGGGAGGGGGAAGGGAGGTGCCTGCTGGAAGTGTATCTGCGGGATTGAGACTGAATTAGGGGGCTGAATGGGATTTGATTGCTAATGGGTTGTTGGCATAAAGGGGGTCAGGAAAGTTGGACGTGCGGTGGTGGTGGAGGAAGGAGGGGGGAGTGTGTGTGTTCGTCGTTGTGTCTGTGTGTGTGGAGTGTGTCTGTGTGTGGAGTGTGTCTGTGTGTGTGGAGTGTGTCTGTGTGTGTGGAGTGTGTCTGTGTGTGTGGAGTGTGTCTGTGTGTGTGGAGTGTGTCTGTGTGTGTGGAGTGTGTGTCTGTGTGTGGGGAGCGGTGGTGTAGCGGTTAGCGCGCTACGCTATGAACCTGGCGACCCGGGTTCGGATCCCGCTCACGGCCAACACCAGTGACGATTATCTGAACCAGTATTGGGCCTCCCCTAGGTCGACTCAGCCTGAAATGAGTACCTGGTGCGATGTGTAAACATCGCCACTGGGGAGACAAAGGCGGTCGGGCGTGGTGCTGGCCCACCCACCCCCTCGTGTACTGTTCCGGCCTTCATAGGTGCTCGCTAAAAGCACTTGCCCCTACAGTCTGTTAAGGCTATAAGGGGGATCTTTGTTTTATCTGTGTCTGTGTGTATGGAGTGTGTCTGTGTGTGTGGAGTGTGTCTGTGTGTTGTGTGTGTAGCGGTTAGCGCCCTGCGCTAACAACTGGGCGACCCGGGTTCAATTCCCACTCACGGCCAACACCAGTGACGTTAATTGCGCCGGTCCTGGGCCTCCCCTAGGTCGACTCAGCCTGAAGTGAGTATCTGCTACAGTGTGGAAACATCGCCACTCGGGAAACAGTCGGCCGGGCGTGGTGCTGGCCACCCACCCCGTCGTGTGCCGTGCAGGCCTTCATCGGTGCTCGCTAACAACACTTGCCCCTACAGCTTGTGCGTCTCCGCGTGTGCGTCTCCACGTGTACACCTCTACGTGTGCGTCTCCACGTGTGCACCTCTACGTGTGCACCTCCACGTGTGCACCTCTACGTGTGCACCTCCACGTGTGCACCTCTACGTGTGCATCTCTACGTGTACACCTCTACGTGTGCACCTCCACGTGTGCACCTCTACGTATACACCTCTACGTGTACACCTCTACGTGTGCACCTCCACGTGTACATCTCCGCGTGTGCGTCTCCGCGTGTACACCTCTACGTGTACACCTCTACGTGTACACCTCTACGTGTGCGTCTCCGCGTGTGCACCTCTACGTGTGCACCTCTACGTGTGCAACTCTACGTGTGCGTCTCCACGTGTGCACCTCTACGTGTGCACCTCTACGTGTGCACCTCTACGTGTGCACCTCCACGTGTGCACCTCTACGTGTACACCTCTACGTGTGCACCTCTACGTGTGCACCTCCACGTGTACATCTCCGCGTGTGCGCCTCCGCGTGTACACCTCTACGTGTACACCTCTACGTGTGTACCTCTACGTGTGCACCTCTATGTGTACACCTCTACGTGTGCATCTCTACGTGTACACCTCTACGTGTACATCTCTACGTGTACATCTCTACGTGTACACCTCTAAGTGTACACCTCTACGTGTACATCTCTACGTGTGCACCTCTACGTGTACATCTCTACGTGTACACCTCTACGTGTACACCTCTACGTGTACACCTCTACGTGTGCACCTCTACGTGTGCACCTTTACGTGTGCACCTCTACGTGTGTACCTCTACGTGTGCATCTCTACGTGTGCATCTCTACGTGTGCACCTCTACGTGTACACCTCAAAGTGTACATCTCTACGTGTACACCTCTACGTGTGCATCTCTACGTGTACATCTCTACGTGTACATCTCTACGTGTACATCTCTACGTGTACACCTCTACGTGTGCATCTCTACGTGTGCACCTCTACGTGTACACCTCTACGTGTGCACCTCTACGTGTGCACCTCTACGTGTGCATCTCTACGTGTGCATCTCTACGTGTGCATCTCTACGTGTACACTTCTACGTGTGCATCTCTAGATGTACACCTCTACGTGTGCATCTCTACGTGTACATCTCTACGTGTACATCTCTACGTGTGCATCTCTACGTGTACACCTCTACGTGTGCATCTCTACGTGTGCACCTCTACGTGTACACCTCTACGTGTGCACCTCTACGTGTGCATCTCTACGTGTATACCTCTACGTGTACCTCTACGTGTACACCTCTACGTGTGCACCTCTACGTGTACATCTCTACGTGTGCACCTCTACGTGTGCATATCTACGTGTGCACCTCTACGTGTACACCTCTACGTGTGCACCTCTACGTGTGCATCTCTACGTGTGCATCTCTACGTGTGCACCTCTACGTGTACACCTCTACGTGTACATCTCTACGTGTGCACCTCTACGTGTGCACCTCTACGTGTACATCTCTACGTGTACACCTCTACGTGTACATCTCTACGTGTACACCTCTACGTGTGCGTCTCTACGTGTGCACCTCTACGTGTACACCTCTACGTGTGCATCTCTACGTGTACACCTCTACGTGTACACCTCTACGTGTGCGTCTCTACGTGTACACCTCTACGTGTACATCTCTACGTGTACATCTCTACGTGTACATCTCTACGTGTACACCTCTACGTGTACACCTCTACGTGTGCGTCTCTACGTGTGCGACTCCCACGCGTGGCCGCGCGCCGCGAATTCCGATCCCGAGAGCAGCGAGCGCAGCGTCGCAGTCGGCAGGAGGAGGAGGAGAGCGCGGGTCGAGCCATCTCCCTGGGATTGTTCGCGCGCGCGAAATGCCAGCCCGTGTAACCCGATCAATCGCGTCGAACGTGACCATATAATGAGCGCGGTCGGCTCGGCTGGGTTAATGTGTTTTCGCTGCACGATGCTGGCATTGTTTAAGGCTTCGCCACTCACAAACTCTGTGCTGAAAACGCTCTGGCTTAATGGCTCTGGCGAGGGAAGAGAACACATTAAATTAAATACGAAAAGCGCCGCGTGTTTAATTAACATGCCGCAGCTGTAGCCGAGATGCAGCGACGCGGCAATCCTCATGTCGGATGAGACAAATACAAACATCACGCCGAATCGCATCAGACCGCCGGGGTGAGTGCTATCGGCGAGCACGTCGATGATAGCCGACACGGCTATCATCTGCGTGCTGGAACGCTCTTCCCCGTCCGATATTTGGAAGCAACTGGATCATTGCACTTCCGTGTTCAGTTTGTCATCCTTCCCCCGCACCTCCGATTATCACGGTTGGCTACGAACGGAGCGAAAGAAGTTCAACATCCATTCCTGTGAGTCGATGTGTCGGGATGATCAGTCTCTGGATCTCTTGTGGACATCATTTGTATGATTCTAAATCAATGGCAACCAGGCTGAGACCATCGACTCACGATACTCGGGAACCCGGTTTAATCGCGGGCTGTCGACAGACAACATCGATTCGAACCGAGGCCCTCAGTGATGTGGGCTCTCTGTGGTGTGCCCGACACGGCCTTTATTAACCCCCGCGAGTCGCCCAGCCCCTGAGTAGAGTCGCGCTCTCGTGGGAAGCGCCATGGGGTGGTGGTGGTGGTGAGCGTGGTGGTGGTGGTGATGGTGGTGCTGGTGGTGGTGAGCGTGGCGCCGAGCGCCCCCTGGAGTCCCCACGTGAGCGCTGCGCCGCTCCTCTCGGCGAGAATCTCCGCAGCGCGTGGCGCTGTCCACTATGTTCGGCACACGCGTGACGAGTAACATCACGATGGACGTGCCCGATCTTGACGGATCTCGAAAGCTCGACGGATGTTGAGCCTGGTTACGACTTGGATGGGTGACCCCGCCACCTTGGGGCGTGCCAGGTGTTGTAGGCGCGAGGCTGCGAGGCGGGGGCAGGAGGAGGCGGTTCCGAGCGGCGCTCGGGTTGTCTCCGGGGTCCTCAAACTCCATGCTGACGAGATGTTAACTCCCTCGCCTGGTGTGCAGGAGGTCGTGGGTTCGATCCCGACCTGACGCCTGCTATATATTTGCAGTTCGCAAGCTCTCCCCGTCGTCTATAATATTTGGCTTCTATAAATTTCCACTTGATAAACCACTTCATTGAGCTCTCATTTGTGGCCAGGTCGCTTCTGAAAAAGAGTTACATAGCTCGGTGGGCGTGACCTGGCAAAACGAAACGAGTCGTAGCAATAGTCCTCGTGGAGTTCACGGACTAACGCCCAGGTGTAGCAGGAGCACCACGTGAAACGAGTCTCGAGACTGTGCGAGGCTCTCCTAGGTAAATGAAGAAGACTCATATAATAATATAATAATAATAGTTCAATATTGCCAGCAACGTGTGAAGTGGCTACGGTGACTTTAGAATGAAATACAAAAATTAGACGCGTTAAATTAGAACATGCTGCATCTTCATCACCACCAGCAGCAGCCATGGTCAATCCACTGCTGGATGAAGGCCTCCTCACGCCATCGCCATCTCTCACAATCCTGCGATGTAGCGATCCACCGAGCAGCGTGCACGCGAGCTGATTTCATCGCTCCGTCTCGGGCACGTCCCCTCCCTTAGCTCCCGTGCGTTCCTAATAGCGTCGTTGAACACTCGCTAAACCGGTTACTGTTTTAAAAATAAAATATCGGTTTCGCGAGTCAGGAACCGATAACCGATTCCAGTGGATAGTTAGATCGACGCGTGTGAATGTAGAAACTGCGCGGCCCAAGTCACCGCGCCGTTCATTTGCCTAATAAGTCAGTAAGAAATGTGAGGTTTATTTCAACACTGCACACTTGTTGACGTGCGGCAACCCGCTACAAGGAGTCGCGTCACCTGCCCCGTTGCTCGCGATGTCGCCGTGCGAGTGGCGGGCGCTGAGTGCTGGCTCACAATACCCCCCCCCCCACCGTCCCCTAAAGAGATTACTCCCTCGTCAGGGGCACGCGATTAGAGACCCCTCGTGGGCTCGGGGAGAACGGGGGGCTCGCTGTCGAGAAGCAGAATGGGAGCTTTCCCGCAGCCATCCTCGGTGGGGTCAGGGGAAAAATACGGAGACGCGAGACCCCTTTCAGAATACCACTCCCCACCCTGCCCTTCTCCCACCCCTACCCACCCCCTCTCCCCACCCACCCCCACCCCCTCTCCCCCACTCCCCCCTCACCCCCTATCCAACTCACCCCCTCTCCCACCCACCCAGCCCCGCTCCCCCCTCACCCCCTATCCAACCCACCCCTCCCTCTCCCCCCAACCCCCTCCCTCTCCCACCACCCCCACTCCCCCCTCACCCCCTATGCAACCCACCCCCTCTACCACCCACCCACCCCCGCTCCCATCCCCCTCCGCCCGCTGGCTACTCAGTTTCTTGCTGCTGAGAGGTTCCCATTCCCGAGGGATTTTCGCACGGAGCCTTAATCCGCCTCCGCTAAGCAACCGACTTCGAGTCCAGGTTGCATCTCATGTACAGTATTCATGTTGAACTTCATTCGCACCGTACGTAGACAACCGTGTAAATTGGAGGTGACTGAGGTCTAGGGGCCTACTCACTTTGGGTTTGGCAGTCACATTCCAGACTGAGTCGCTCCAGATCGGGGAGTGGTGGCGCAGCGGTTAGCGTGACGGGCCACGGATCGCCCATCATCAGCTGCGACCTGCATCGCTCCCTTCATAAAATATAAGAATCGAAAAACGATGTCAATCGATGAATCGCGAAGTTTCTACGAATTAATCGCCGTTGCGCTGACGCAGGCATCGCATCGCACGCGAGAGGCAGACTCTGTGATGTATGATTTGTGCAAATGAGTTTCAATTAATACACTGTTAAATTAAATATTTCTGAAAATAATCACAGAATACGGAACAACTCCTCAGAAAACAAGACCAGCGAGACAGAAAAAACGAACAGCAGCAGCAGCCAGGGTAGATCCGCTGCTGGATATTATTATTATTGATAGAACGAAGGCCTCCTCGGCAACTCTGCGATGTAAGAATCCACCAGGCACCGGGCAGCCAGAGACCTGCTGCAGGCACCTGCTGCGGGCAGTTGGCAGGGCCCTGCTGCAGACACCTGCAGCAGGGCGCTGCTGCAGGCACCTGCTGCGGGCCCCTGCTGCAGACACCTGCTGCAGGTGCCTGATAGGGCCCTGCTGCTGCAATGAGTCTGATGAGTCCGCGGTGAGGATTTCCTGGGTGAAACAAGCAAATAAATACATGACCTGCCCGTTTTGTTGTATTGCTCCATTTCCTGGGAAGATGCCCTCTCGGACAGACCAAAAAAATGTCGAATCGATGAGTTGGGGTGTTGCTGATTGGCCAGCGGCTGTCGGGCTCCAGGAAAAATCTCGCTCATTCCCGCCGCTAGCTCCTCCAGCCATCGACTCCGAGCAGGGGGGTAGCGGACGCCACTCATTGAACCCCCCTCCCCCTCGCCCCCTCCCCCAGGGAGCCACCCCCTTGCGTGCCCAGAGCCTGGGAGCGAATTCCAAAGCAGAGCAATACGATCCGGTGCGTGACTATATGATGTGGGATTTTGGGCATCGCTATAGAGTATATGCAGTGACCTGTAGGATCCAGGGCATGCCTCTGTGGTGATTGGCAATGGTATGGGGCAATGTGTCTAGGATTGGAGGCAAAGCCAAGATTCCTCGGGGGCATTCGGTCAAATACGAAGTCGGACACAATCGTTGAATGCGTCCGGCTGGAGTCGCTTACTGAAGGTCGCTTCTACCTATCGAGGCGATCATCACGTGGACCGAGCCGTGTTTTCCAGTACAACCGTCGGTGGTGCAGTGATTAGCGCGCTGAACCCCGGCGACCTCGGTTCGATTCCTGGCAGCGGATAACAGCATCGGCTGGCGGGCGATATCCGAATCGGCTTGGCGCCTCTCCACTCGTCGACCCTTTCAACTAACGCGCACCGACCGACTTTGTGAAGTGGGCTAACATCGCGTGGGGAGGCCTTCATCCAGCAGTGGAGAGACAAGCGCTGTTATTAGTAATATAATTATTTTATAAGTAATGATGCACGCCTCAACCGCGATCATTACCCCACCCCCCCGCGCCGTCATGGGCGACTGCAGTCAGAACAATCGCGCTCCGCCGCTGTGCATCCAAGCAGCCAATTTGCATTCATTAGCTTAATTACCCTATACATTACTCCACGCGCCCATTCGTTTTCCGCGGAGCAGAAGTAATAATAATTAGAATATTGTATTTTAAGAGAGGGAATTGTTGCTTTATTAGACATGAATTGAGAGGCAGAAAGAGGAACACGTGGACTGGGAACGCGCGCAGATGAATTACATCACCCACACTGGGAGGGGATAGTGAGCTGAGGCTTGGGCAGGACGCGTGGCGGATAGAGGGGGACGGTGGACAGTGGTCGAGACTAAGAGCGGAGTGGCAGCCAAGGAATGGACTGCGTCCCATGGCACGTGTGCCGAGGAGACGGAGCGATGAGATCGATGCGTGTGCAGGGGCTGGGTGGAATGTTGCATCGCGGGATTGTGAAAGGTGGCGAACGCTTGGAGAGGCCTTCATTCAGCAGTGGATTGATGATGACTGCCAGTGATGATGACGATACAGGAATTACATGGATGTGTGCGTGAGAGAGAGAGACAGCGGTAGTGTAGCGGTCAACGCGCTGCGCTACGAACCAGGCTACCCGAGTTCCATTCTCGCTCACGGCCAACGCCAGGGACGAGTATCTGAACTGCTCCTGGGCCTCCGGTCGACGCAGCCTCAAACGAGCACCAAGTGCGGTGTGTGGACACGGCCACTGGCACCCACCTCGTGCGCCGTGTCAGACTTCGTCGGTGCTCGCTCACAGCACTTGCCCCAAACATATATTGAGGCTACAGGGGGGATCTTTGTGTTTGTGAGAGAGAGAGAGAGAGAGGGAGGGAGCCTGGTGGGGGGGGGGGGGGATGATACGTGTCCCGCAGGACGAGGAGGAGATGTCGGCGTCGGTGTTGCTGGAGACGGAGTCTGTCCAGGGGAGAGCGCGGCGGGTGGGGAGGCGCGGCGTGTTCACGCGCCAGCTGCCTCGTGAGCCGAGCCTCAGATGCGAATCTCTTCAAGTTCGGGGAGGTGCGAGTGAGTGCGGCGTGGGGGGGGGGGGGGGTACGCAGGGAGGGGTGGGCCCGGATTAAAAAAGAACATTAATTTAAATTTGGTTAAATGAAAGTAAGGCTTGTGGGAGCTCAATCTGTTGTGTTTTCGTGTGTAAGTGCTTGAGGAGTGACTGGGCACTGCCCCCACCTCCGTCCGCTCCAACCCTTCCCTCCACGACAGGGAAATTCGATGAACGATTACGATGCACGTGCTAGAGGCTAGGGCGAGTGATATAGCGAGCGCCAGTGCCTGGTTGCCTGGCTAGTATGTCAGGGTGCTGTTAACGAACAGCAGAATCCGGCACAGCAAAGGGAGCCCGCGTCCTGCCCTCTCCCTCCACACCGCCGGTGTCACCCACAGTGACACCATCAGCCTCGCTACGGCCTCGCCGTCTCCCCGCTCGCATCTCGTCCATCAGTGAAGCCACTTCAGTGACGACGCGCTGTGTGTCAGCGGCCGTAATCAGCGATTGTGTCAGCGGCCGTGTGTCAGTGGCTGTGCCAAGTGGCGGCGACTGAAGTCCATCTCGGAGCGATTGTGGCCATTGCGGGAGTTCGAGCCGGCTCGCGCCACTGATGTGAGCCGTGGCCAGCGGCGGATTCCAGAGTTGAGAGGAAGGCGAGCGACGGGAGCGACGGGAGCGACGATCTCTGCTGCGCTATCCCAATTCGGTCATTGCGGGAGCGTCTAAGAATGCCGGCGGTGCGGTGCGAGCTGAGGCCGCCGCGCCTCCGTGGTGGCGATGGCCCTGCCCCGAGCGAGCTGCCGCACCGCGACGGGAAGACCGGCGGCGCTTGATTCTCCGCGGGGGATTGCCCGTAATGCGACACGGCTGTCGCCAGCCAGTGCCTCACCTCTCCTCTCCATCTGAGCGAGCGATGAGGGCGATGTGCGCGATGGCCGCGTGTGTTGCGGGTCGCGGGGTCGCCTCGCGTCTCCTCGCGTCACCAGAGATCGCGCCGCGCGGGAGGGTGAATTAGATGGGGTCGGGCACCCCGCGAGCTCGCGGCCGGCGGCGTCGCTCTCGCATTAGGGGGGCGACGCTTCGCGAGGAACTGGAGATCGCCCCCCCCCCTCACCTCGTCACCCATCGCTCGCGGCAAATTGACGATCTCAGGCGATGATGCCCCTCGGAGAGCGCGCGGAGCCGACGTCTCCGACGAGCGCCGCACGCGGCAGAGCGACTGGCGGAGGAGACGCGCCTCTGTGGTGGTCGTCGAGTCGCCTTCTCGAGGCCGTGCCGCGTGGCTGCCGCGTGGCTGTCACGTGGCGCTGTTCGGGAGCTGTCGGGGCCGATCGTGGGGCAGCTCCCGCAGGCCGCGTGGCCGCTGCGCAGCCAGCAGCTCGGTGGACGTGGAGGGGGAACCCGGGGAGAGAGATGCACATTCCAAATGTCAAACCCACCACCACCTGTGAACCAGGCGAGGTAGTTACCATCTAGCCACTGTGGCATGACCCTCCTGGGTAAACGTTTGCCTTAAAATCGTCTGCCTGGCTCTGCGAGGTTGTTTTCCGAGTTTTACCGCTGTGTGTTGGTCGGCGTGATGGTCCCAGCATGCAGTGTGAAACGTCTGACATCGGGCCGAGAAACACGCAGTACAGCTCAAACACAAAATCGCAAAGCTCCCATCTGGTCACCTCGGTAAGTTTGAGACCGTGAGATGTCTGGGTAGAAGTTTTGTTCATGGCAGAAACAGACTTCAACTTCACCGCAAGGAGTCCTCTAGTGATTTCACAATCGCGTTATTCCTGTTATGTTGCTTTGGCATGAGCGAGTGTGATTTTAAATTTGCTATTCGTAAAGAGGTGGTCGCTTGGGTCAGCAGTCACAACCCATCCACCCACTCACCCACTAATGCACCCAACCTACCCACTCACCCATCTACTTACCCATCTACTCACCCACTCAGCCATCCACTCACCCCCCTTCCACTCATCCACCCATCCACTCACCCCCCTCATCCATCCGCCCACCGACCCATCTACTGACACGCCCACACCCACTCACCCATATACTCGTTAAGCCACTAATCATCCACCGATGTATCTACCTACCCAAGTCACACACTTACCGACTCACTCACTCACATAAACTATAAACTACATTTTATTTTATCAGGTAAGACCCACTGAGATATTTTTAAGAAGCGACCTTGCCACAAATGATAGACCAATGAGAAGTGGCTTACCATCTCTACATGTATAGCAGCCAGATACTTTAAACGCATGTTTCTAAATGTGTAGGACCCGGAGACAATCCACGCGACCACGGGGAGAGAACACGCGTACTCCAAGTATACAGCCGTCAGGGTCTAGATCGAACCCACGACCTCATGTACACCAGGCGAGGTAGTTAACATCTCGCCAGCGCGGCGTCCGGTCACCCAACTACCCGCCCACTCAGCCACCCACCCATCGACCCCACGCACTCTCACCTGCTCACCTTCACCACACCGCAGCACAGCACCCGAGCCCAGCTCGCATCACCCATCCACCCGCCCCCCTCCTCCCTCCCCCCGAGGGAAATCTCTGGCAGCCGAGCGAGACCCCCCCCCGTCACCCAACAGCCCCCGCCCCCCACGGCAGTAATTGCCTCCTCCCCTCCTCCGCCCGCGAGCCTCCCCTGCCGCCAGATCGCCACTGATTAGCCGCGCGACTTCGCTCCCCGTGGTGGCGCGGATGAAAGCGCCGATTTCTCATTCCACGCGTCCTCCCAGCAACGTGCGGATTCCTCTCACGGAGCCTCAGCCACCCCCCTCCCCACGCCATCAAGGACCTGGGTTTGAAGCCAGGTCTCCGCAGACCGCGTAGTGAGTTCATGGTCTCAGCCTGGTCGCCAATCACTTTGGTTAGTGGGTAGTGGTTGTGGTGGTGGGGCTCTGTGTGGTTGTGGTGGTGGTTGTGCTGATGGGGCTCTGTGTGGTGGTGGTAGTGGTTGTGTTGATGGGGCTCTGTGTGGTGGTGGTAGTGGTTGTGGTTGTGCTGATGGGGCTCTGTGTGGTGGTTGTGGTGGTGGTTGTGTTGATGGGGCTCTGTGTGGTGGTGGTGTTGAAGGGGCTTTCTGTGGTGGGGGTGGTGGTGGTTGTGACAGGCGGTAGGAAGGGCTTGGTGGTAGTGAATGTAATGCTGGATGAGGATGTCGGGATGAGAGGTTGTGGTGGAGTCTCGTGGCGGGCGGGGGGGGGTAGTGGCTGAGCGCACGAGGCGATGACTCGCGCGTCTCGCCGTGATCTCCACTGCTGGCTGAGCACAAAGGCTGCGGCGCGCATCTCCGCTGATGGAATTTCAGGTCAGCCGAGCGCATCGCGACCAAGACAATGGGGGTCGGGGTGGCAGTCTCGGGCTGGGGAGGGGCTGGGGGCACGGGATGCAGAGGAACGTCACAAATAACGAAACGGGGTCCCAGGCAGAAACTCGTGTCGCCGCGGTGTCCCGGGGACGCCGCGCTCGTTCCGCGCCCCCCGTTCACCCCCGTTCACCCCCTTGCTCCTCCATCAGGTGGCGGAGAGAGAGATAAAATGTAAATTTAATGTAAATTAAATTCGCCGCCACTTTGCGATTCGTGGTTGCGCTTGCGGCCTACACCACGCGGGATTATAGCGGGGAGGGGGTGGAGGGGGCGCTCCCCCTCAACCCGAAACCCATGAATTGTGCATTGTATGGCTTTTTTCACTCTCTGTCTCTCACTCTGCCTCTCACACTCTCCCGCACTCTCTGACTCTCTCGCCATCTGCGTCTCTCTCACGCTCTCTCTCTCGCTCACGCTCTCTACTCCCAGTCGCGAGATCCACGGCATTCCGCACTCACGCCTGGGAATGTGCGCCGCTTGGCCGCCCAGGAAAGGTCGCGTCCCTCCTCCTCCTCGCCGCCGCCGCAGCACAAACCTCCACCACGTGTGGCATGATGATGACGACAGTCGCGTCATGCGGGTGGTGGTGGGGTCAGGGGAAGCGGTGGGACAGCAGTTAGCGCACTGCGCTGCTGGGAACCCGGCGAGCCAAGTTCAATTCCCGGCCACGGCGAACACCAGGGGCGAGTTGTGTCTGAACGGGTCGTCGCCACTGCCGCCCATTCGCCTTCACTCTCCGCTCGGAGCAGCGTGGTGAAGCATGGCCAACAAGAAGCCTGCTTGCCAACACGGTGCGGGGAGGCCTTAATTCAGCAGCGGTTTGACAAAGGCCGCTGTCATCATCTTCGTCATCCGTGATCAAACCACTGTCGGATGAGGGTTCCACCCGAAACGTCGCCGTGTAGCGATGCAATTGAGAATCCAACCCGCTGATGCAAACGGCCTGAAAAGTGTGCAAAGCAGCGGAGGGAGAGAGAGAGAGAGAGACGCATGCGGAGAATTGCATCGCGGAACAGGAGGAGGAACGTGTCGACTGGAAAGCACACGGCTGGGCAGGACGGAGTTTGTGTGTGCATGGTACAGATGTATTGGGAGGCTGTTCGATGCCTGGGTACGGTCAAGGGATGGCTCCCTATTGGTCAACCACGTTATGTATGCCGATGATTTGGTAATTGCTGCTCACTCAGAGGAGTTGGTGGCGCTGCTGCTGAACCTGGAGCCTGCCACTAAGAGTTGGGGGCCGTACCATCAGCCCCACCAAAACTAAGCACCTGCCTGGGTATTTTGTACCATCGGACACTCCACCCCCACAACTCCCAATCGGTGATGGGGCAATAGTTGTGGAGAAGGTGGAGAGTTTCCCATACCTGGGCAGTGTGCTCATGACCGGCTCCGGTTTAACAGCAGAGGTCTCACTCCGAATTAGTCGAGCGGTAATATATTTTCATCGGTTGCGTAACGCTGTGTGGAAGCTACCTGGTCTGTCGCTCCGCACGAAGCTTCAGGTCTTCTCGGCCACAGTCATTCCCTCCCTTCTCTACGCTTGTGAAACGTGGACCCCCCGAATGGAGCATTTTCGCCAGTTAGAAACATTTAGGCTGGCCTGCCTACGATCCATCCTGGGTTTAACCAGGCTGGATTGTGTGAGGAGCTCACAAATCCTCGAAAGATCTGGACAAAGTCCCATCGATCAGCACCTCCGGCAGGCAAGACTGTGTTGGCTGGGCCATGTAGCCCGCATGCCCAGCCACCGCAAGCCTCAACAGCTTTTGTTGGGCCGGATCGAGGGGGCTAAACGGGCCCGGCACGGGCTAGAGAAGAGATGGAGTGACGTGGTACAGGAGGATGTAGAGATGAGTGGACCTGCCGATGACTGGTACCAGCGGTGTCAAGATCGGCCTCTGTGGAGGAGGCTCGTGAAGGACGCTGCTACTGGGCAGTTGGAGGCAGTCGCCCTCCAACAACAACAGAGGGCGGAGGAGGGATGCTCACAACAACGAGCGGAGCACCGGGTGAATAAAGCACAGCAAGTTGGCACAGTAGGGGGCACAGGTGGTGCATCAGCCAGTCATCTCGGTCATCTCAGTCAGTCGACCTGTGGCACCTGGGTCTGCCCCGTGACCTCCTGCCAGCGGGCGTTTGATACTTCACGTGGCCTCAAGGTGCACATGGCCTGGCACAAGCGTCGTGGTGAAGTCACCGCCACTTAGTGGCGAATGGTGGTTGTTGTTGCATGTGTGTGCGTGTGTGTGGGGAGCGGTAGTGTAGCGGTTAGCGCGCTGCGCTATGAACCTGGCGACCCGGGTTCGATTCCCGCTCACGGCTAACACCAGTGACGATTATCTGAACCGGTCCTGGGCCTCCCCTAGGTCGACTCAGCCTTAAATGAGTACCTGGTGCGGTGTGTAAACATCGCCACTAGGGAGACAAAGGCGGTCGGGCGTGGTGCTGGCCACCCACCCCCTCGTGTACCGTTCCGGCCTTCATAGGTGCTCGCTAACAGCACTTGCCCCTACAGTCTGTTCAGGCTATACGGGGGATCTTTGTCTTTATCTTTGTGTGTGCGTGTGTTCACGTGTGTGTCTGGAGGTCAACTCCGCTTCAAACGAATTCCTGTGCCGTGTGTAAACACCGCTACTCGGGAGACAAAGGCGGCCGGGCGTGGTGCTGGCCATCCACGCCCTCGTGTGCATCGTCGGCCTTCATAGGTGTTCGCTGACAGAACTTATTCCGAGTCTGTCAAGGCTGTCCGGGTGACCATTGTCTTGTGTGTGTCGTGGTGAGCCCATTGTCTTGTGTGTCGTGATGAGCCCATTGTCTTGTGCGTGTCGTAGTGAGCCCATTGTCATGTGCGTGTCGTGGTGAGCCCATTGTCTTGTGTGTGTCGTGGTGAGCCCATTGTCTTGTGTGTCGTGATGAGCCCATTGTCTTGTGTGTCGTGATGAGCCCATTGTCTTGTGTGTGTCGTAGTGAGCCCATTGTCTTGTGCGTGTCGTAGTGAGCCCATTGTCATGTGCGTGTCGTGGTGAGCCCATTGTCTTGTGTGTGTCGTGATGAGCCCATTGTCTTGTGCGTGTCGTAGTGAGCCCATTGTCATGTGCGTGTCGTGGTGAGCCCATTGTCTTGTGTGTGTCGTGGTGAGCCCATTGTCTTGTGTGTCGTGGTGAGCCCATTGTCTTGTGTGTGTCGTGATGAGCCCATTGTCTTGTGCGTGTCGTAGTGAGCCCATTGTCTTGTGCGTGTCGTGGTGAGCCCATTGTCATGTGCGTGTCGTGGTGAGCCCATTGTCTTGTGTGTGTCGTGGTGAGCCCATTGTCATGTGCGTGTCGTGGTGAGCCCATT